TACCCTACAAACACAAAACAGCACCCTCACCTGCTCACGCCACTCTGCAAGCAATTAACCTTCCCGCTATCGCCTTATTTGTACACACACCCATCCTCGTTCTCAACACTCTGCCATCCCCCTATCTCCACTCTCAACACCCACCAGCACATCTGCATGCCCCACACGTTCCTGCATACCATCTCATCCTGACCACTGCACCCACTTCCCTATGACCATGCCATTATCCCATTACCCTCTGCTTCCACATACACAACCCTGCCTGCTCTGAAACAGTCACACTTTTGCTTGTTAACTTATGTTAATAATGCTTTATTCTTAAAAGAAAATGTAAATGATCAACAGTGATTCATTAAGCACACCAAATAATTCTATATTTTTATAGCAACGGTACTTGGCAAATACTGTATATTATTGCTGTCTTGTCTTCCTGACTCAAATACATAAATAAGGAATATACAGTATATATGCTTGTATGTCTGTATAAATTCTTTACATCTAATTCCCCACAATATGCACAAATCGGAGACTTCCTGGCAATTTGCTTGGTACAAAAAGACAGATAGGGACTTCCGAATGTTTTAAACATTATTTAAATACTGTTATTACAATAATTAAGTTGTCAATTCAGTGGAAAATCCATCCATCTGCTGAAGACTATCCACAGTCTTCCATTTAAGGTTAAGCTTCTTCTGCACACGCCCAACCAATAACCAAATTACCCTTCTAACCACTGTGTGAAATTGAAGGAAACCTTTACATGACTGTAGACAGCTGACACTTGAGCAGCAATTTAAGCCTTTTTAGGAATCCAGATGATGTGAGGACATCCTGACAAAGCCTCGACTTCATATTTAGATTGTTTTTAGTTTAGCAGGAAACTAGACCAGAATGAATCACAGTTGATCCACTCTCATTAACAACAAAATGAGTGTCTCTGGTTGAGTAACAGTTAAAGAAAAACAGACCTGGTCTGTTGCTCAGTGGACCAAGTCCTCTTTTCTGATTTTGGAGCACTTCATGCTTCCTTCCGCAGACGAGCTCTATGGGGATGCTGACTTCATTTTCCAGCAGGACTTGGCACCTGCCCACACTGCCAAAAGCACCAAAACCTGGTTCAATGACCGTGGGATTACTGTGCTTGATTGGCCAGCAAACTCACCTGACCTGAACCCCATAGAGAATCTATGGGGCATTGCCAAGAGAAAGATGAGAGACATGAGACCGAGCAATGCAGAAGAGCTGAAGGCCGCTATTGAAGCATCCTGGTCTTCCATAACACCTCAGCAGTGCCACAGGCTTATAGCTTCCATGCAACGCCGCATTGAGGCAGTCATTGCTGCAAAAGGGGCCCAAACCAAGTACTGAGTACATATGCATGCTTATACTTTTCAGAGGTCCGATATTGTTCTATGTACAATCCTTGTTTTATTGATTGCATGTAATATTCTAATTTTCTGAGATTGTGGATTTGGGGCTTTCATGAGCTGTAAGCCATAATCATCACAATTATGACAAATCACGGCTTGAACTATCTTGCTTTCCATTTAATGAGTCTATCTCATATATTGGTTTCACCTTTTAAGTTGCATTAGTGAAATAAATGAACTTTTGCACGATATTCTAATTATTTGAGTTTCACCTGTACGTTCCCCGGAGTTCCTAGCAGTAATAGCACTTACTGTTGCTGACTGACAATGCTAAATCACTGACTTGCAATTAGCAGCAGCATCTCCAGTTGGCCGTGTACATTCATTCAGTTGGCCACTGGACTGCCTATCTGGTAGTCCTCCTAGGCAGTCCAAAAGCCAACTATAGAAGCTCACATGGCAGGCTGACAAGGCTGGTGCTAACTGTGAGGCAATAGTTTAGTGTTGTCATCCTGAAACAGAAAGTTAAGAAACTCTGGTTAAGAAACGTTTCAAAAGATTCACAAATGTTATCTGCTTAGTAAAATTGTATACAGTGAAGCATGAAGATAAACATACTGAAAGAGAGATTTGGGGTTTAAATAGACAAAAAAGAGGCACTCTACTCACAGTTAGTTTTGGATGGAATGAAGTAGGGCTTGGTCCTCTTTTGGATCTTTGCTCCTACCTATGATTCTGGGAAGGATATCTCCTACCACCCCTAGTTCTGTTGTAGCAACTTGAACTCAGGTTTTGCTAGGTGTATTTTTCATATAATACTACAGAGAATCCTCCAGTGGACCAACAGCGCTAACATTATGGTATTACCTGTGTACTAGTGGATTCTTTATATTATTTGTCATAATAATTTTACTAGAGACCTATCTGCTATTATTGTATGAATAGTACATGTCATAAAACGCAACTGTATGGTGTCAATTGTGTTAGATGGTTTAAAGCAGCTAGTATGGGGAACATATCTGTGCACTATTTAAAGTGTAACTAAACTAAAGATTTAGAAATGGTAATTGTACCTAAGCAGTACCATGAAAAAATATATTTTGTCTTGAATGCCTTCTCAAAAATATAATATATATAATATGTGAGGGTGCCTACACACTCCTGGGCCAAAACCCTAATAGCTGTATATCTTCAGAGTGTGAGAGCTAATGCATTGTGCTTCTGACTGCTAGTCTCATCAAATTTGGAGTTAGATTTGGTCACTATTGTTCTGCTAATTGGTCTCCTAGATGAATACTCTGACATAAAGAAACCAAACCCAGCCTCTACCGAAATCGCCACCTCCATATAGAGACACAGGGGTTGATTTACTACAGCAAAATAGAATGTTCACTTTGCATGGGAATTTTCACTTTGCAGGTTAAGTTTTCCCTTTAGTTAGTGAATGATGTGAAGCTCTGCTGACTTCCAAAACCCAATCATGATTGGGTATTCTTTGCAAAGTGACATTTCACCACACTCCTCAAACATAGGGCAAATGTCTTTGCATAGTGAACAGCCATGTGGCCCAATACTAGTTACTGGTCCTATGTCCTCTGCCTGACGTATTTTTTGAACAGATTCCAGACTTCAGTTCCTCTTTAATAAGGTAAAGGGCAACATGCCAAAAGCCTTGAGCTACTGTTTGTCAGTTGAAATTTTGTTGGTTTCAGAGGGTTACTGCATGTTACAAATCATCATTACTTTTATGCTGTTTTACTAAATAGGCCTAATGCAGTAACTTAAAGCAATGAAAGAGGGAATCATTATGTTGTGTTTCAACATTAGTATCTTAGCATTCAATGATGACGTAAAGGTGACACCAGATAAGTGTGGAGAAAAGCCGATATGACAGATAAGTGTCAGGAAGGGTGTCCCCACCTCTAAAATCCCTGACTTTAGGTAAATTGATGTAAAGTGCTTTGTGTTGTTCAATGACCTCATTTTTAATTATACATGCTAGGGACTGCATGTAAAGTAGAAATGCTTCAGAACACATATAATTGTACATGTATCATCTCAGCTTTCATTGTGAATACACACATTTACTTATTTGGGGATTGAATGAGGCATCATGTAGCTGTCACACTAAGACAAGAGGCGAAGAAAAAACAGCAATAGTGACTTTTATTAGTGGTTAAGGATGGATTAAAATATATAGCAGTATTATTCCAGACTCACTTTTGTTTACATAGAGATAGAATTTTTTTCAGGAGCATGCCCAATTATTCTGAACAGGGATCAACAGAGGAGCTGAGTGATTTCAGGGAACTGAACCAATGAACCCCCTTTACCAGTGCACCACTTACTGGGCAGATTTCCAATGTCTGCTTGGCAGAGCAGATTTCACTTGCTGCTGAATTGATTTTATAGAATTGATGCGTGCTCGGATCTATCTATTACACATACTAATATACATATGTGACATGCATGCTTAGAAAAGGTGATATTTACGGACCTGCTTTTACTTACCTAAATAAAAAAGTTAATAACTTCATATTTAGTATATGATGATTCCTTTCCATATACAATGGATGGACTCCTGCTGGAGTTCCCCTTTCATGGCTGTGCAAACAAGCAGGTTGGGGAGGACTACTTCAATTTCAAGAGTCAGTGACCTTTTACCTGATCTGGTTCTGCAGACCCAAAGACCAGGGGTTCCACTTTGGATATGAAAACATTACAGCCAGCAGGCATGTGTTGTGGGTAGATAAATCTGAAAAGCAAAGTATTCCAAGGTGCTTCTAGCAATGTCAAAGTGTCACAAATAATGCTGCTTTACAAATACTATCAGATACTGAATAAGACAGTCCACTTCCCAGTGGCTGGCAGCTCTTTAAAAGATAAGAAAATATAGCAACATATGTAAAAAAAAAATGGTCTTGTTAAGCAAGGTCATATATTTGTTATAAAAAGAACATGAGTGACTTCTCACAAGATATGTATAAACAGCATGTAAATACACAATCCGAGTGGCAGACCATCAGGGTTCAACTCAACACAGTCTACACTCTACACAGCCCACATGGCACGATGGATTCTAACGGCTGATGCATTTCCAGGGACCTGATCCATTCATCAGACCCGGAGGAAGGGGGGCAGGACACCAGAAACATATGCTTTGTGGACATCCTTAGTAATATACACCATTTTACATAAAATCCACAGTAAATGTTGTCAGTAAAACCTTTTTGTAATTTCTAAATAAAGTTCCCCCAACACCTTACAAAGGTGGAATGACATCTATTTGTCTTTTATACACATCCTATGCTATATCCTTAAACTATTCAATTTTTACAAAATACAATTTTGATACGGGCAGCCTAGATGTCCTCTCTCCCCTCCCCAGCAGTATTTTTTTATTTTCTCATCTTCACTACATAGATGACGGCTGCTCCACTTTCTGTGTACTTTTTAAATTAATAGGATTGTGTATTAAATGCAGTAAAAAGTGGTAGAATTGCAGTTTTCTAGCAAGGTGTAATCATTTGAAAGGCCTTTTTGCAGAGTGATTTATAGACTTGTAGCTTCATTGCCAGCTGTCATTGTTCTAGTACAGATTATAAAATGTAGTTTAAACTGTAACTGTTTCAAAAGGACACAACAAAAAATCATGTATTTAGTATTCATTGAATGCCTACAAATGCTTCATGTAAATGATGTTGTGAAAGGTAATGTTGGAATATTCCATCATCTGGATATTGAACTTAGTGGATCCCTACCCCTTCAACTTTTGATTCTAGACCTCACAGTTTGGTGGTATACCTTTCTACAACATGAATTAAAAAGAAAACAACACATTCAACATTTGTTGTGACCAATGTTATCACTATATAAGGTCTTATCTATTGTTATGCTTCACATTGAGCCTGCGTTGCCCCATACTACCTGATAACCTAATAAGTCCTAATAATAACTTTTATGTGAAAAGCCAGCTAAATGAACAATAGTTTACAGAACAGCTAATGGGAATTGCAAGCTAGAAAATGTGATTCTCATCTACACAAGTCAGAACAACCTCGCAGTCATGTTCATTAAACTGTTCATTAAACCTAAGAACAAGCATGTAATATATTAGAGCTTATTGGTCCTTAGATGTGGTGGCTGCATTAGTTTCCTTTTTTCCCTCTATTTTTCCCTGGTGATCCTGCCTGTAGCACATTTTACTGTACTGTATTTATGAAAAAGCAGTGTTGTTAGCCTAGGAAGGAAGTGTGTTAGGACATATTAGTTTATATGAGGGTTTACAGTATAGTTAAGTTCATATTAGGGTTTATAGAAACTTTAATGTTAGAGCACATTTTGAGTGTCTTCCTGTGCTCCGCAGTTTACAACAGCTGCAAGGACAAACACAAGAATGTGGTTGTTGAATTCCAATTTTGCCCTTTACCAAAATACAACATTTTCTTCATGAACACATGCTTAGAAAACTCCTCATATGGTGTATGGAGTGAGTATTTTATAAATAGTAGAGGCGGTCTGAAATGGAAATTTCAAAACCGAAACGAAACCAAAATTAAAAAAATTGTCAAGCCGAAACCGAAAATGTTTTTCATTTTATTTTTTTCACATTTTTAAAATATTTTATTTTTATTTATTTTTTATAAACTTTTACATTTTTTATATTTATTTTTATTTATTAATTCATTTTCTATTAAATATTGATTTTTACTTTACTTTTAGGGGCTTTGGGGAAATATTAGGGGTCTAAACATTCCCCTGATATTTCCCTTTTAAAATAGAAAAAGAGATTGAGGACACAATGTCCTCATCTCTTTTTCTGCAGCCCCAGTTATCAATGAACAGGAATCCTCTATCTTCTTGTGTTCCTGTTCATTGATAACATGAGAACATTGTATGTTTACTATAACTACAACTATGAATGAACAGGAGATGATGTAGATCACTTCCTGTTCATTCATAACTGAGGATATAGTCTACATGCTATATCCTCAATTATCTACAAACACTCAGCGATCACTGATCGCTAAGTGTTTGCACTTGCACTTGCTCTCCTTCCTGACAGCTGTCACAGGAGGCTAAGCGAGCGGAGCAGGGAGGAGAGCTCAGTCTGCTGTGACAGCACGGGCTGTCTCCGCCCACACTCCTCTCTGCTGGACTGTGACAGGAGGCTGAACGGTGTGGGAGGAGAGACGCCGGCCGCTCACAGCGCTCTCCTTCCGCAGCGCCCGGCCAGCTGTCACACTTTCTCTCCTCCCCGATGAGGCACAGAGCAGCGGCCGATATATCGGTGCATCCCCAATAAATAGCCATCACTGGAATAGCTTGCAAGAAGAGTCAAGTCAAAATTAAAATTGACACTGCATCAATGGAGCACTGAATAGACAGTAATGTAAGAGGGGACACTGTGGATCCTAATGTAAGGGGGAACTCAGTGTCCAGAGTCCCCCCCTTTCATCAGAATCTTCAGCATCCCCCCTTATATCAGCATCTCCAAAGACCTAATTTTTATCAGAGATAAGGACTCTAAGATGTAAAGGGGGAGACTCTGATGTAAAGGAGAATTCTGGGGACTCCCCAGAGTTCCCACTGATGGAGGTGGTCATAAGGCATCTATACAGAGCTGGATGCTGGGAAGGGCAGGGACTGGAGAGGCAGCTTGTCATTGTTTGGTTGCTAGGATGCTGGGTGGTTCTAGCAGCCAACCACCAGCTCGGTCATTCAAGTTCCTGGCTGCTGGTGGTTAGTTGGTAGGATGACAGGTGGACCTAGCAACTAACGCGTAGCAGCGCAGGTTGAATAATGACAGCAGCAGTGACTAGAACTGCCGCTGTCATTATTCAACCCCTGCTGCTGCTAGTTATTTTCCTGGACCGCCAGACATCCTAGCAACCAACCACCAGCAGCCAGGAACTTGAATGATTACAGCGGGTCCTGATGTAATCATCAAAGTCACTGGCTGTTGGTGGTTGGTTGCTTGTTCAATCCCTGCTGCTGCCAGTTAATTAAAATGGCAGGCAGTCTGCTGTCTCTGTGGGCGGGTGAACTTTTGCTGACCCTCGGAGCAGCACCCTCACTTGAAGTGGAGCCCAGGGCATATGCCATATGTGCCATGCCTTGCATACACCACTTGCAACAGGACAATGTTAGATAGCTTGTATAGGCCTAAATTTACTAGAGACAGAGAGCACAGGCTGGGGCTTTACTACAAACATTAGGATACTAAAGAGAATACAGAAGTGTTATATTGGCCAGCAGCAGAACAGGTTTATATTTAGGGATAATAGGCCTAAAAAGTGTACGCCTAACATTAATTTTTATCTATGGGGATAGGGGTGGCAGGTGTGTGAATCTAAATGATATAATGTGAGGTGGTTTAGGTGCACACAATTCTTGCACTTCTTTTTTTCTTTCAAATAATGCAAATGAGGCAAACCTGAACCTCATCCCTAGTAGGGATGTCATCACGTGAACCAGTTGCTTTGCTCTATATGGGCAAAGAAATGATTGGCTGTAATAGATGAGCATTTAAAGATTTCAGGAGATTATTAGAATAGAAGATGCTTGAAGGAAACATGGTATGAGAAAAATATGTAGGCTGTAATTGCTGACCTCCTTCTAAGAATACTAGTTTCCTGGCTGTCTCTGGAATCTATACTGATCCAGAAGTCACTGATCCAGAAAAAGCATGGAAATAGAAAAAGAACAAACACTAAACTGAGTAAAGTCAGAACTTAGATCTGGATACCTGTAGTGTGTCAGAAAGTAATGAAGCCACTGGATCAGCATGATAGCCAGGAATCTAGTATTTCCAGAAGAATAAATTGGCAATGGGAGCTTCCATAGTCTTTCAGCTCAGGTTTCTTTAACCACCTGCTGTCCGGCCATTGTAATTAAACGGCCGGACAGCGGCTTCTTGAATGTGGGTGGGCGTTTTTAAACGTCCCATCCTGCCCCGTTTGTGCCCACCGCTAGGCGTCGCGCACGAACGGGAAATTGGCTTTGAATGTAAACAGCCACCGATGGCTGTTTACATACAAGCGTTCAGGCGTCTGTAGAGACGCCTGATCGCTTGTAATATGCGTGCGGGTAATATGCGTGCACACCCCCCCCCTCCGTTGCAGCCTCTGCTGGCGATCCCGAGCTCCGCTGTGCCCGGTCCGAGCCCGGGACCAGCACAGCAGCTCTGCGGCCGGAGATCAAATGGAGCTCAGCACACAAGCTCTGTTTGATCTCCTCTTCGGAATGCAGGAAGTGATGTGTATTACATAACTTCCGCATTCCTCTGTCACTCTCCAGTACAGAAACCAGAGAGAAGCTGGTGAAGCAGGTGTTTGCTTCATCAGCTTCTCTGGGGGTCCCCTGGTGACATTAGGGGTCTTAAAGACCCCTGATGTCTCCATAAAGAGGACCTGACACTGAAAATTGGCTATCACAAAGGTGGCTTGTTAGTCCCCTATGTGATAGCAATAAAGCTAAGTGAAAAAAAAGGTTTAAAAGAATTAGTAAAAAAAAATATTAAAAAATGAAAAGTCACATATAAAGGTAATAACATTTTTTTTTAAAGTCCCCCGCCCCCACATACACAAGCAAACATGAGTCGAGTTCGCCTACGTGCGGAAACGACGATTGCATCCATTACGCCGCACATGTAACATATCGCCGCGAACGTCGCAGTGAGAGCAATAATTTTAGGGCCATCAATCACGGATAACACTAAACTGATGAGCGGTAAAAGCTTGTAAAGCGTCGCCTATGGCTAATTTTGGGTATGGAAGTTTTTGCAAGTTCACGGGCGCACGCAATTTTAAAGCTTGACATGCTTGGTGTCTATTTACCCGACATGACCCCGTCTTT